GTTCTTTCTTCTCTCTCTCTCTCTCTCTCTCTCTCTCTCTTAATGCCCTGTCATAATGCCACCCTCTGAGTTATCTCTCATGCCTGTTTGTCGCATTGTAGAATCCAGAGCCTTCAGTGGAGTTTGATACAGTAGCAAATGTTAAGAAGCAGCATGAAGTGAATGTTGGTGAGAATCTCTTTATATACTCCTGATTTCTGCTTAGTTCTCTCTCTTCCTGCTCCTCTTGATGTTCTGGATGTAACTAGTGATTATTTGTATATTTTGCAGGTATTTCCAATTCATTTGGGTTTGGAGGGCACAATTCTGTGGTGGCATTTGCTCCATTTAAGCCGTGATGTTGGTCTCACTGATTGATCCCGCATCAATTTTCTCACTCAATCCTGATTATACTAGTTTCAAATCATCTATTAACTTGTAGACATCATTAGTTTCAGAATTTGATGATGCCTCGAGCTATAGAAACTTCTATGAAACTTGCCCCGTAAGGCAAATCCGGCGCATGAGCTTGTTATTGATTGAGATTTATTAATTTTGACATTGAGCTGCTCAGTAATAGTTTTGAGTAGTTTTTTCATTATAGATATGAATTTCCTTTCGTCCACTCAGATCTTTGGTGGCGTGTCTAGTGATTCTCAGTTTGAGCCTTCTTTTGTTCTTATTCGAGGTCTTTTGTTGAGCTCTAAGAAGAAAGTATAATTTATTCTCTTTCCCTGATTAAATGCTAAAGTTGTGTGCGCTAGTGCTTGCACGAGCCAATATGAGCAGATAATCAGAATCTGTTTCTTCTTTTTCTTTTCTTTTTGGAATAACTCCTATGCTTGGAAAACTTTTTGGAACAATTATTTTAGGTGGATCTCCTAAGGGTAAAATCTACTGGGTATGTAAGATTTCTCTATGCAGTTTGTGGCGAGAGTTCTATGGTCCGATCATGACAGTCAAATTTCAGCTGTCCATAGAGCTCACTTTTGTAGAAGGCTCTTACAACTCATATAATATTAATCAGATCATTTTTAAAATGATTATTCTTTATTTAATTAAAATTAAAAATATGCATCATTGGTTTCCTTATGTATTTGAGCCAAAACAAGAATAAAGATTTGTATTTTTCTTGGAAATTCAATTTCACATGATGAAAATAATTGATATAAAAGTATACAATGGGATTATTTATCTTTGGTACAAGATGGTCACAATTAATATTGATCGATGTGAAATTAGATGGCTGCATTTATTCCATTGATTAAGTTCAAATTTCAGCAAATTTGTTTTCGAACTTTGTGATACCCAAGCCATTAGATTTCACATCGGATGGTTGTACATAATTGTAACCACTTTGTATAAAAGGTAAATGATCTCATTGTATACAATCTTATAATTTATTGTAGGGAAATTAATAAAAATATTAATTATTCAACAATTTATCCTTTTGGAAGTATTCTAACTCAATATTGTGTTATTTTATGGGTACTTTGAAATTAAATAACAAAAAAAATGCAGGCTAAGTGTTAAATTGTGAATCTCATTTTGTAATTTGATAAATTTCCCTTCTGGTTAAAGTAACAGTCCAAGTTGTTCGGTACATATTATTTCTTTCCGCAATTATTTCAGGTGGATCTCCTAAGGGTAAAATCTACTGGTTATGTAAGATTTCTCTATGCAGTTTGTCGCGAGAGCTCTACTGTCCGATCATGACAGTTGTCCATAGAGCTCATATTTGTAGAAGGCTCTTACAACTCATATATTATGAATCATATCATTTTTAAATGATTATAATTTATTTAATTAAATTTGAAAATATTGCATCATTGGTTTCCTTATGTATTTGAGCTAAAACGAGAATAAAAATTTGTATTTTTCTTGGAAATTCATTTTCACATGATGAAAGTAATTGATGTAAAAATATACAACGAGACTATTTATTTTTGGTACAAGGTGATTACAACTAATTTTGACTGATGTGAAATTAGATATCTGCATTTATTCCATTGACCAAGCTCAAACTTCAACAATTTTTTTTGCGAACTTTGTGATAACCAAGCTATTAGATTTCACATCGGATGGTTGTATAAAAGGTAAATGATCTCATTGTATACAATCTCACAATTTATCTTAGGAAAATTAATAAAAATACTAATTATTCAACAATTTATCCTTTTGGAATTATTCTAACTCAATATTGTGTTATTTTATGGGTACTTTGAAATTAAATAACAAAAAAAAAATACAGGCTAAATGTTAAATTGTGAATCTCATTTGGTAATTTGATAAATTTCCCTTCTTTATATGGTTAAAGTAACAGTCCAAGTTGCTCGGTACAGATTATTTCTTTCCACAGAATAAACATGTTGAAAACCGAATTAAATGCCTAACTGAAAAGGGCCAAGTATAAAATATGAATGATTATACCCCTGTATCTTTCTTTTTTCTTGGTTACTTATTTCAACATTCAATGTCCATATGCTAAATCCAATGAAAATAATGGATTTTTGGATTTAATTTTTCAACACAATAAAAGAATTTCAATATGAAAATAATGGATTTTTTGGATTTAGTTGTACTGGAGTGTAGCGCAGATCCAGTATAGCACCTGTTAGGAGGTATGAGTTGGTTCAAATGAAAGGCTAAAAAGTTGTAAGGAGTTGGCCCAAAGAGATAAGATTAGTAGTAAGAAAAGATATGACTACTTGTGGCTTGAGAGGGTATGACCCTTGATAGAGCAGAATGACGGATCGAGATTCATGTAGCGGACAACAAATAGTTTGAAAAAGGCTTTGATGATGATACTTAATGTTATCGACTTTTGTTTTTATAATAGTATTTACAATTCTTATATTAATGATATTATCAATAATATTACTATAATACAATAATATAATATTTTTTTTATAGTAAATAATATTGTAATACAATATTATTATTACAATCCAAATGGTAGTTTTAGGAGATACGAATTCTAGGAGAGTTAAACATGCATCTCCAGAAACCAATCAGGGCCTTAGCGTGTAAGCACAAGTGGAATTCTATGGGATGTAGGAATCTGAGTAGCCATAAAATCTTTATGCAACAAAACTATGTGACATATAAGGGTGATGTTTGCATAAGGTGCCCATCTTTAGTATAGGTGCACGTCTAAATTTTGGTGGAAATTGTAATTCTGATGTAGCATAACTTAAAATGGTTTGAAATCTATGTTCCATCGTAATTATAAAATTCAAAATTTTTAAAATGGTCAAAATCGAACAAATCTATAAACATTTGAAAATCTTGAAAATGGACGGTCTAGAAAAGTTGTTATAAGATGCACTATTTTTAAGATTTGAATTTATTTTTTTCTTTGTATCCATACATCTCAAGGTCGTGATGATCAATTGGAAGGCTTTCCAACTTCTGAGCACTCTTTTCTATTGGAGTTTTGAGGTGCACCTTACTTCTATAGTGTACGGTTGCAACCTTGTATAAACTTTTTTTGTCATATGGTAGTTTTCATTTTTGGGATTAGTACGCACCATCAAGAAAAGCACAATTCTCTCTAAAGTTCTTAACAAATAAGTAAATAAATAAATAATTGCCTTCTTCTTTTGGGCAATTCAATGGGGAAGACACGCCCCTACTCGGTTTTTTCAAGTAGATTAAGAATTAGTTTTTTTTTAAGGGTGCAGTTGGCATACAAATGCATCTGTAGCTGTAGAGATAAGGTGCACATTCAAATTTTATCATGGTATATAATTTTAATGAAAATATTCTTAAGATCATCTCAAAATCTATTTTTATATCTAATTATAAAATTTAAAATTTCAAAAAAGGTTAAAATCAAGTAGATCTATAAATATATGAAAATCTTGAAAATGGACGGTGTGGATAATATATTGTAAAATACACTATTTTTGAGAATCAAAATCTTTTTATTTTTCATGGTCCTACATCTCGATGTCAAGATGATCAATCAAAGGGTTTTTCAACATTAAAACTATCTTTTTCTATAGACTTTTGAGGTGCATCCGTAGTTCTACATTAGAAGGTTGCATCCTTATACAAACTTTTTCCTTTTTTTTAAAGGTATAAGTAACGTGATGACTAGGATATGGGTACTACCACCACCACCCTAGCCCCTTTTCCAATAATTGTCTTCTTCCCTTTGGACGGTCTGGACATCGTCCTCATGCATACATGATGTGATCGTACGTGCAGTGTTTGAGACTCTTTTCTTTATATGCATGATGCCTCTATGCTTCTACGCCGGTATCATTACTTTCGCTACAAGAGTTAAAACATGATATTTTGAAAATGTGTTTCTTCATATTTACAAAATAAAGTCTTCTATCCGTATTTAAAAATTTCACTAAAGTAAAATGCGTTGATTGTTCCTACCTAGCTTACTTCTAAGCTATGACCTCTGTAAAACCTGGACTTTCCAAGGAGTCTCTTCTACATGTACTCCTTTTTTTTGTTTTTTTTAACAAGAACTACCGCGCTGCAAATCTCACTCACCCTCAAATATGCAGAAGATCTCAAAAAACATGTAAATGCTACAAAAGAAGTCGGTACAAGATGGACTACTTTTAAAGCTCAGATCCTATTTTTTATCAGGTTCATGACGTGGGCCAATGAGCATTCGAGATGGGCCGATGAGCTTGTGAAGGAAGAATGGAAAGAGATGGTGGAGATGGTAGCTTGTAGAAACGAATGGAAGGAGATGGATGATAAAGCGAAAGGTGAGGTTCGTAAAGTGACAAGCTTTGGCTTTGGTTTGGATTCAGGGGGTCTGTCTTGTCCTTCGGTAGGGGTTGAGAAATCGGAATGGCTACAATTACAAATCAATCTAGGGCTTTGTGTGTGTGGATCCTTCTCACTCCCTATCTCTAATTTTTTTGGCTTGGCGGACTGGGTTAAGAGGGGATGGAATCTTTCTTATCACCCTGTGGTTAAAGTTATCGGGCCTTGTAAGGCGGTCTTTAAATTCAGTTTGAAAGAGGAGGTCAGCAGGGCCCTTAAAAATCGTTTCTGTAGACTTTCGGGGGAGCCTTCTTTCTTTGGACCTGTGGAAACCTTTAGACCATGATTCCTTTATTCACAATGAGGTTCTCTGGATTGATCTTTGGGGTGTTCCCCTTCACGCGTGGAGTTTGCATATTATCGAAAGAATTGTTAGTAGTTTTGGGGTTTACTGTGATTTAAATTGGGACTCTTTCTTGAGTCCTGTTTACAAAGGTATGCGTATTAAAATTTTGAGAGCAAAGGGTGCTCCTATTCTGACAAAGGTGTTGCTCACTATCGTTGATGAATCTTTCGAGATCTTCATTTCCCATGCGTCTAGGATTGAGTATTCCTACTGGGCTCCTGGAGATGCAAAACATGTAACTGCTTCTCATTAGATACATGATCCTGTTCCAGAGAAAGGAAGATTGCTGGCTGGAAAAGTACTTCTAGGAAAGGTGAAGCATAAGAGGAAACAAAGGCGGGAGGTAAAAAAGTTCAAATTTCAAAATCGTAAACCCCTCAACGTTTCTAAGTGTTGGATCCAGGTTGGAAAGTTTCATATTTTTACGGCGGGTTTTTCATCAGAAATTAGTAAGTGGAGAGCTAGGATCAAGGGAGGTGGCA